TTTTTATTTATATAGCTATGTAATGGATGAATGGATTAGTGATGTTTTTACAATTAAATGTATTTTAGTTTCCTTACAGTATATTTAACTTTTTCTTTGGGCTGATGGCCCTCCATCCCATGAGAGTTTAAAATGGGGTAATGATAATATATGTATGTATATTTGTTCATAATTATCAGGTTCTTTTATAGAACAAATGTATATACAGTACAAAAAATATTACCATACATAAAGAGTTGTGTATTAAAAAATTTAGTACTTTTTAAGACATTTACATAAATTTTATATTAAATTTTCAAATACATCAGCATTTAGAAGATTATTTACCTTTACTTCTGAATCAAGAAAGACTTTGGAAGCAGATGTGATGTAAACAGGTTGGTGGTACAATTAGTGTGTACAACATTGATAAGAACATAACATAAGAACAAAGGCAACTGCAGAAGGCCTATTGGCCCATACGAGGCAGCTCCTATCTAGAACCACCCAATCCCACTCATATACATGTCCAACCCGCGCTTGAAACAATCGAGGGACCCCACCTCCACCACGTTACGCGGTAATTGGTTCCACAAATGAACAACCCTGTTACCGAACTAGTATTTACCCAAGTCTTCCCTAAATCTAAATTTATCCAATTTATACCCATTGTTTTGTGTTCTGTCTTATGTTGATACTTTTAATACCCTATTAATATCCCATTTGTTGTGTCCATTCATCCACTTGTAAACCTCTATCATGTCACCCCTAACTCTTCGCCTTTCCAGTGAATGCAATTTAACACTATCGGTCACTGGACAGGCGTGCGGTCAACTTAGGGGTCATGCACCCGATGTGCGGGCAAGCGCGTGGTGACACCTAAATGTGTATACTCGTTTCAGCTTTCTCACCTTAATTCTCGTGCTACGTCGCTCGTTTTGGTATCGTTGTGTTCGCAATTAAATTCCCTACAGGTGTGTATAAATATAATGTCCAAAAGCCTGGCGTGACTCCCAACAGCAAAGCCTAAAGTTGGCAAAAGTTACCCGTGAGCGCTCAAAATAAGTAAAATGTGCATACTCGTTCCATTTTTCTCACCTTAATTCTCGTGCTACGTTGCTCATTTTGGTATCATTGTGTTCGCAATTAAATTCCCTACAGATGTGTATGAATATAATGTACAAAATTATGGAGTGCCTCCCCGCAGAAAAGCCTAAAGTTACCCGTGAACGAGCACCAATTTGTACACTGCAACCTAATGTGTATACTCGTTCAGTTTGATTACATCAATTTTCGTGTTACGTCTTTCATTTTGGTATCAAATTGTTCGCAATAAAAAGGTGCGTATTTTAAAACTAGCCCCATAATAATAGAGCAATAACTGGAATTTTAACAAATATTTTAATTCTGGAAGCTCATCATCACAAAATTATTTATATCTTTCCAGTGTTCTGACATAAATTTTTGTGTTACATCTTTCATTTTGGTATCAAATTGTTCGTGACGTAAAGGTGCTCATTTTAAAACTAGTCCCAACATAATAGCATAAAAAATAGAATTTTAACAAATATTTTAAAATTTTGACCAAAAGCCTATTTATAATCATACAAGTGTTCAGACATCAAGTTTCATGTTACATCTTTCATTTTGGTATCAAATTGTGCGCATTCTAAAGGCGCTTATTTTGATACTATCCCGACGTCGATTGGATAAAAAATTAATTTTATACAAATATTTTTTGTAGTGGATGCAAGTCCGGTCCAAAGTTAGGACTCAGGAGTAAAATAATGGACGCGAGTTCGGTCCAAAGTTACCGATAGTGTTTAGCTTTGTTAATCTTTCTTCATATGAAAGATTTCTAATTTGGGGAATTAACTTGGGTCATCCTATGCTGTACATGTTCAAGTGAATTTATATCCATTCTATAGTACGGCGACCAAAACTGAACTGCATAATCCAAATGGGGCCTAACCAGAGCAAGATGTAGCTGAAGAACCACACCAGGTGTCTTGTTACTAACGCTTCGATTAATAAATCCCAGTGTCCTATTTGCCTTATTACGAACATTCGGCATTGATCCTTTTGTTTTAAATTCTTACTAATCATAACTCCCAGATCCTTTTCACAATCCGACTTCGCAATCTCAACACCATCTAGCTCGTATCTTGTAACTATCATCATTACCTAGCCTCAGAACTTTACATTTATCAGCATTAAACTGCATCTGCCAATCTTTTGACCATTTCAAAACCCTATTTAGATCAACTTGAAGTGATAGCGAGTCGTCTTCCGTGTTAATTTCCCTACCGATTTTTGTATCATCTGCAAATTTGCAGATGTTGCTACTCAAACCTGAATCTAAATCATTTATATTATAAACAACAGAGGTCCCAGGACAGAGCCTTGAGGCACTCCACTAACAACATTATCCCACTCTGACTTAACCCCATTTATACTAACTCTGTTTTCTTTGGAATAGCCATGCCCTAATCCAACTTAATATAGCACCCCCAATACTATGAGCCTCTATTTTTTTAATCAGTCTTTCATGTGGCACTGTATCAAAAGCTTTGCTAAAGTCAAGGTACACATCACAATCTTTACCACTATCAACTGCCTCAACTATGCTGGAATAAAAAGATAGCAAATTTGTTAAACATGAACGGCCATTTGTAAAACCATGTTGCGACTCATTTATTAATTTGTTTTTCAAGATGAAGACGAATTGTATTTGCAATGATCGATTCAAGTATCTTTCCCACAATAGACGTTAGGCTAATTGGCCGATAGTTTGACGCAAGTGATGTCTCCTTTCTTAAAAATTGGTACCACATTAGCTACCTTCCATGACTCTGGCACTCTACCTAACTCTATTGATTTATAAAATATGGTAGATAGTGGCTCGGAAAGTTCCTCTTTGCATTCTTTAAGCACCCTGGCAAACACTTCATCCGGCCCTGGGGATTTGTTTGGTTTTAGTTTTACTATTTGTTTAATTACATCCTCCCTGGTAACTGCTAAACTAGTCAACCTGTCCTCGTCCCCACCCACATAGACTTGTTCGGATGAAGGCATATTGTTAATTAAGTTCCTCTTTAGTAAATACAGATATAAAATATTTACTAAAAATACTACTCATCTCCTCGTCATTATCCGTTATTTGACCTGTCTCAGTTTTTAATGGACCTATCCTTTCCCTAGTCTTAGTTCGATATAACTGAAAAAAACCTTTAGGATTTGTCTTCGCTTGCCCTGCTATGCGAACTTCGTAGTTTCTTTTTGCTTTCCTTATCTCTTTTTTTTTAACATTTCTAACCAGTTGTACGAATTCCTGTTCTAAACTAACTTCCCCATATTTAATCCTTTTGTACCACGCTCTCTTTTTACCTATAAGATTCTTCAGATCCTTTGTTATCCACTTTGGATCATTAGTATTCATCCAAATCGGTCAGGATAAGGATCTAGGAAGGGACAGGGGGAAAGAATGGTGCCCAACCACTTGAAAGGTCTGAGGGGGCCTGACAGCGCTCTGGATTCGTAGTCCTGAGGTTCCGGGTTCGATTCCCGGTTGAGGCGGAAATAAATGGGCAGAGTTTCTTTCACCCCTGATGCCTCTGTTCACCTAGCAGTAAATAGGTACTTAGGCATTAGACAGCTGCTACGGGCTGCTTCCTGGGGGTGTGTAAGAAAAAAAGTCTTGGTCGAGGACCGAGCCGCAGGGACGCTAAGCCCCGAAATCATCTCAAGATAGGTTTGGGAATTGAACACCAACCTGCATGAAGCGGGACCGTCGCTCTACCGTCCAGCCAAAGTGGCTGGAACACATTTGGAAGTAGAACTGAATACATTTATGTTCCAGCTATTTTATCTCAATCACATCCAAGTACACATAAATCTACTAGTTAACTAACTTTATACTTATCTTTTAACATCCTATCTTTAAAAATTGAGATATGATGATGTAGATGGACATCATCTACCTAATCTACACAATCTAAATGTAGATTAATCACCTGCGTGGCTTTCCAGTTAGCAGTGACGAGAACTGACTGTCAACTAGGTGACCTTCCTAATAAGGAACGCTCCTCCCAGTCCGCATAAAATCCAAGAGATGTGTTCAAGACGATGTGTTATCAACGTTAACTGTGCCCAAGGACGCTACCTACGGCGGACGACAGCTGACTGGTCTCATCTAAGGAAATGTAAACAAAGGGAGGAGTTGATGACCAGACCATACCAGAATGTGAAGGGACGACGACGTTTCGGTCCGTCCTGGACCATTCTCAAGTCGATTGTGAATCCAGCCCTTCATGCACAATCGACTTGAGAATGGTCCAGGACGGACCGAAACGTCGTCGTCCCTTCAAATTCTAGTGTGGTCTGGTCATCATACTTTAGCCACGTTATTGTGACTCATCGCCTGCAATGGGAGGAGTTCGTCCCCTAGTGACAACTGTCTGAACCATCATAGATAGTCTTCTTGTACTGTATTTATTGTCAGTGCTTGAGTGGGTAAAATTTTTAGTTACAATAAATATATTTTCTAACACTATCCTGTCGTAAATCATGACATAAAACTCCGCTGTAATAAATACTCGTCTGTTGGCTGTTTAGAGCAACACGTCCTCCACCCCTTCATGCAAACTGCACATACTATCAAGAAGAAGAAAAAGCCTCATCTAATTGCTACAATATCAGTGGAAATATTTACCAAATATGATACAAAATCACCCTCTGTAAAGCCTCTTTAAAATAAAAAGCTACCCCTCAAAACGTAATACTGTACCTACTATTTGAAGCAAGTTTTAACATTTTCTGATCAGGGAAAGGAAGACACCAACAGTATGGGGGCGTAAATTTCGTGAATCGCGGGCCGTCGAGAATGGAGTGAGGGCGAGACCTCCCTTCCCGCGCTATTTATGCCACCCAGACTGTCCGCACCGCGCCTTGCGGAACGCGGTGCGTAATTGTCTCTTCCTTCCCCATCAGAAACTCCACCGCCTTTCGTTTCCAAAAGGCAGTGGCCATTTTTACGAGAGCATACCTGAACGCTTGGCAACGATTTTTGTCAATTTTAAAAAACATATTATGCATAATAAAATATTATATAAAACTGTTGTAATCAAAACAAACATCCTCAATGAGAACTAAAGATGCCATTCACAAATTTAGGATTTTGTTGACTTCTTGAAGGAATTCATCTTGTCTTCCCAAGTTGGTTTGTAACACTGGGTTTTCATATTCCAGTACACTTCCATGTCATTGTACATTTTGGGCCCTGGGTCATTATAGTTGAGCGCTTCACACACGCGGCAGTAGTGGTACACAGGTGTTTGGAAGAATCCATGTTCATTCAGAACTCGAAATTTGGAGCGCCATTCGTGATATTTATTGTATGCCTCAGAATTAGACGCCAAGTACCTGTCAAGACAATATTATAAGCATTAAAACCCAGGTATTTGTTAAGATATATTTCAATACACATTTCAATGATATTATAACATGTCTATTACAATACTGGCTTACTCATTAGGTATAATAGTGTGAAGAAGTTTGTTACTCACTGAAGGTGCTTGGCGAGGTGTTGTGGTGAATCATACTCATCGATGTGAATGAAGGAATTGGGTGGCATAAGCTTTTTATAGTTTTCCACCGATGTACCCATTACCACAGGAACAGCTCCCTTCCCTAAGGCATTCCACCACACCTGATGAAACACCACAGCACAAGAAAAAAGATCAATATATGAGAGTTTTATACCTACCTCCAGTTCCTCTGTCTACAATATAAGAATCGTGTTTACTATTGTGTTTGTATGTGTATGAGTCTGTGCGGCCAGCCATATGTCCTCAACACGGATGAACAGCCATGGGAAAGATTGTAAACTCTAATGCAATTGTTGGAACAAGACATCTAAGCCACTATCAACTGATACTAAGAACTGTGATATGAGGACAGACTAAGAACTTGCCAAGAGCAAATCACGAGTAATGTAGTATAAGGTTTGGATAATAAATAAATAAATCTATATTACTCGTTCATTAATATCACCATATTTCATATATATATATATATATATATATATATATATATATATATATATATATATATATATATATATATATATATATATATATATGTCGTACCTAGTAGCCAGAACGCACTTCTCAGCCTACTATGCAAGGCCCGATTTGCCTAATAAGCCAAGTTTTCATGAATTGATGTTTTTTCGACTACCTAACCTAACGTTTTCGGCTACCTACCCTAACCTAACCTATAAAGATAGGTTAGGTTAGGTAGGGTTGGTTAGGTTCGGTCATATTTGAAGTGGTTCAAATAGCTTCGGCTATCACTTCCTTATGTCCGGTTGTGATGGTCAAGCGGATTAAGGCGTCCTGTAGATACCAGTTGCGTTGCTCCTGGCAGTATGGGTTCGAGTCACTTCTGGGGTGTGAGTTTTCAGTCGCATATAATCCTGGGGACCATTCAGGCTTGTTCGCATATATATATATATATATTCCAACTCTGGCCCCAGACATCACTCGGTACCCCTACTCAAATCTCTTAATATGTTAGATATTAAGTCACTGCACATTCTCCAATGTGTATTATACATATATAAAACGCTAAACTATAATGCCAATCCTGATCTTAAAAGCTTCATAGAAGGTTGTAACAGAACCCATGAGCACCACACCAGAAATAAATACAGTTTTGATATTCCTAGAGTACGTCTTAATCAAACTAGAAATGCTCTGCAAATCAAGGGGCCCAGAATGTGGAATGACCTTCCCAACCATGTTAAAGACTGTACCTCTCTCAACCAGTTTAAGATAAAAACTAAACACTACCTAATAAATTCCCTGTAATCTACCTCACTCCTCTATTGTCAACCCATGTCTGTTATTTTCTTTTTTTTTTTCTTTTTTTTTAATAAACACTGTTTGTCAACCTATTGTATTTGTGCTGCTTTTTCAGTCATGTTCCCCCTTTTCTTTTATCTTTATTTGTATTTGTTCTCAACATCTTTTATTCTTTATGCTCAATTAGTATTAAGTTCTAGATATTAATGTTTTTCTTGCCCGAAACGCATTGCGTAATAGTGGCTTTAGGCATTGTATGTACTAGCTCTATCTATATATCAATCCATTAATGTAACATCACTTGTATGTATATACCTTACCTGAATAAACATCTGAATCTGAATCTGATATATGCATATGTCATCGTCATATCCTGAAATCGTCAGACTAAATTTGTCAGCATTAAATGCCCCCCCCCCCCCAATTTATAAATGCATCATGCGAAATTGACCCGTAAATAGTTTCTGATTCTAAGATTGCGATGGTTAAATTTAACTTAAACTGTTAAATCAAGTTCATGTATGTTTATTGAGACAAGAAACTGTTAAAGTAATACCGAAGTGCAAATTTGCTTACCTTCTCTGTTAAATAATCAAGACAATTTCCATTTTCAAATGCCAGGTAGAATTTGTAGGCATTCAGTGCTGGACAATCCCTTGCGAAATGTCCGGTGCAATTGTAGTTCTTTCCACAGCCTCCATATAGGTCTAGTTCTATGTATTTTTTAAGCTCATTCACATACTTATACCTATTATTTTGTCCTCCACAGTTTGATCCCATTAATGCTAGAGTTTTGTTCTTCTGTTTGAAATAATCAACGTATTGATATGAGGCAGCCTCGTCTGGAGACATCTCCACTGTTCTACCGTACGGTACTGGGACATCGCTGTCCATCCTGTAGCTCATTGACCAATTGAAGTAACCATTGTAATTTGTTAAATTTTTATCTTTAGCAATCATAAAAGTGTGGTATGGGTTCTCATCTGTTAACCAGATCCATATTTGGTCCTTTTTTGTGCGGCTCGGGAAAGTGTGGGGTCCTAGGGTGATATGGAAGTGGATGATAATGGCATCCGCCGTGGGTGCTGCCTGGTCTTGGTAAGTGAGCCAGCAGTTGTGTACAGAACACCTGCGGAAGGGGTCCATGTTTACGTCACCGAACTCCGCTAGTAAACGGTTCTCATAAACAGCACCAGTTTTCCACGCCAGAATGGTGAAAGTTTTATTTTTCTCCTTACCAATCTTTTCATTCAGAAAAAGTCGTCTTCCCATTACAGACAAATTCTTTAATTCATCATTACTTAAATTTCTCCAGCTGTGGCCACTTGCCAAAGAAGGTTGTTCAGCGTCGGAGTTTGATATCTTGCCATAATAAAGGTAGTCTCTTAGAGTGCTCCTACTTGTGTGTGGTGAGGACTGAAGGTTTAGAATAACCAGGACGAACAAGAGCACCAGCAGCAGCCAGCGGAGCCTCCAAGCCCGCAACACCTGATGGACGTTCATACTTCACCCACGGCGACTATCCTGCAACAAAAATTATATATATAACTACTACAATTTTGATGAATACGCACATATACACAATAATATAACATAGACGTTATATGAATACGAAGCTACATATAGCACTATATCACGTACATATATATGTAAATGTTAACTATTTGGAATACTTTTTCCTCAAACAGTGGGTGACCACCAGCAGGTTAACAAGAGGGTCGTGAGCAGAGTTCCTGAGGGTCATAAATAGGGTCCCAGGGGGGTCATATCTACGTAAATCAGAATGTTTATCCAAAATTGGAGGCTAGACGCTCGGGGGTTAACTTTACCCAACTTTGCAAGCACGTCCACACACGCTAAGTCTGGACGTGCGCACACGCTATGCGTGTAGACATACGCTATGCGTGTGGACGTGCGCATATGCTATGCGTGTGGACGTGCGCACACGCTACGTGGATGAGTACGTGTATGCATGGGTGTGGCGTCACCAGAAGAGGGACAGGCATGAATAACAAGTCACTCCGCGATTCACAATTACCCACTACCCAGCTACCCGTTGCATAGTTGCACACAAACGGTACTACCAACTTGGCATGAGGGGAGGGTGTTGTGAGGGCAAAGTGCAAAATTGAATGGAGAATTCACAGACGTGTTAGTGCAACATGGCTCCTTCCTCACAACTACAGACTACTCATCACAACCCCAGAAAAGAGGTCACCCACGCAGGTCTCTCGTCTCAATGGAACACCACCAGCCGGATTAAACCCAAAATCTCAAGAGAGTTTCCCGCAATATTCAACAACGCACCGACCAACATTACCGACTACCTTCACAACACCGTCTGCTCACACCTGCTGCAGCATTACACAGCTGCTACAGCACGACACAGGTGCTGCAGCACTACCTAGCTCTTACAGCACGACACAGGTGCTGCAGCACTACACAGGTGCTGCAGCACTACACAGGTGCTGCAGCACTACTCAGCTACTGCAGCACTACACATCACATCCTCTTACCTTCATCACACATACGCGCGACCATCAATCCATTAACAAACTGCTTCTCTTCCTAATACGAGCTATATAACAATGATGACGTGAGTATGGTGGTGAATACCTATGAGCTGGGCCCTACACCACACCCTTATCATCTTTCTCCCATACCGCAGACTGCCAGAAAGCCTTTATATAAAAGATCACTCACGACAAGAGGAGCGAGACATCTCCCGTCCACGAGACTAACCATAGCCCGTGCTTCTTGCCCCGCTCCTGTGCCAGGTAAGTTTCGGACTCACCATAGCCCGTGCTACTTGGAACTTGTTCCGAGTAGCTCAATCTATAACAACAACAACGACAAGAGGAGGCACACACAATAGATTCCTCAACCACACCAGAAGTCTCACGATACTTCTTGACACTGATGATGCCTCTCACCAAGCTTGCTTACATTGACCAGCTCCCATTTACACTGACCAGCTCCCATTTACACTGACCAGCTCCCATTTACACTGACCAGCTCCCATTTACACTGACCAGCTCCCATTTACACTGACCACTTCCATTTACAGTGACCAGCTCCACTTACACTGCATGTTGCCACTTACATGCTCGAGTCCCAGTCACACTGCACATTTCCAGTTTGATGCTCCGCTACATATCACAACTGGCCATATGTACACTTAAGACAAATGTTTTGCTATAATACAACTATAGCTAGACAGTTACAGTATAAATTAGTTTCCTACTGACCAAAATGGAATTAATTCCAACAAGTCATACACTCACTAAAAACCAAAGCTGGGAACATCAGTGAAATACCATCCATTATATACAAGAGCGCCTCCCACGCCCTTGCCCCACCTATAGCTCTGCTGTTCAACAAATCCCTTGAGTGTCATACCTTCCCTGATATCCTTAAAAAAGCAAGAGTAACACCAGTTCATAAAGGAGGTAATCCGGCAGACATAAACAGTTATAGACCAATATCAAACCTACCCATACTATCAAAAATATTTGAAAAAATTATCTACAAACAGCTTTACTCCTACCTCGTAAAATTTGACATTCTTAGCCCCTGTCAGTTTGGCTTCCGCTCCCAAAAGAGTACCAACGATGCAATTATTAGTCTCTGTGATATAATCTACTCAGCCCTTGACAAAAATGAGTTTCCGATTGGACTCTTCATTGACCTGAGAAAGGCCTTTGATACTGTTAATCACAATTACCTCTTACGTGAACTCCATCATTATGGAATTCGAGGCCATGCACTGGACTATATCCAATCCTATCTTAGTGATAGACACCAATGTGTAGCCATCAATAATATAACCTCTCCCACTCTACCAATTACCGTTGGAGTGCCACAGGGCAGTATTTTGGGACCTCTCTTATTTCTTATTTACATCAATGACCTGCCTAACGTCTCTAACATTCTGAAACCTATTTTGTTTGCTGATGATACTACCCTCATCTACTCTAACCCCAACCCACATACACTAAATAATGTTGTTAATAATGAACTAAAAAAAGTCCACTTATGGATGTCAACCAACAAACTAACACTTAACATAGAAAAGACCTACTACATCTTATTTAGAAGCAAATCTACAAATGCAATTCAGCTTCAGATAGACAATGTAAACATTAGCAGTAAAAATGATGGAAAGTTTCTTGGCCTATTCCTAGACAAGAGACTCAACTTCAGTACCCACATACAACACATAACTAAGAAAGTCTCTAAAACAGTTGGTATACTCTCCAAAATCAGATATTATGTACGTAACTCTGCTCTCATCTCTCTATATTATGCACTAATCTATCCCTATCTTAATTATGGTATCTGTGCATGGGGTTCAACCACTGCAAACCACCTCAAATCCATCTTTACCCAGTAAAAATCTGCTATCAGAATAATAACAAATTCTGCTTTCAGACAACACTCAGCCTCCTTGTTTAATTCCCTAAACATGCCAAACATAATCTCACTCCACAAATTCTCTTGTGTTAACTACATTTACAAAACCCTGTTCTTAAATGCAAATCCTTGTCTGAAACTCTCCCTGGACAGATGTAATAGGACCCATTATCACCATACCAGAAATAAATATCTCTTTGATATCCCCATAGTCAAACTTAATTTGTGTAAACACTCTATGCAAATAAAGGGACCCAGTCTATGGAACTCACTCCCTATTGAATTGAAAAGCTGTCCAACTTTTGCGTCATTCAAAAACAATACTAAAAAGTACCTAATTTCATCTGCATAGTTTTTTACCTTTTGCTTAAAACTGCACTGTATTTATTGCTACCAAATCTCCCAATCTTTATGTACCCAATCTGAACATCTTTATCAATGCGATCATTGCTGTCTTCTTATATGTACTGTCAATCTGCTGTATGGTGTCTATTAATCTTGTTTAAATTACCAATCAAGCTGTCAATGTAATCAATCAGAGTTTTAATATACCAATGTGCTTTAATATACTTACTAATCTCTCTCATCTAATTTTTTTCTTACAATGTATTTGTTATCATTTTATTAATTCTGCTAGAATTTACCTACTTAAAATTATCTGTTAGATTAAGGACCTGACCGAAACGCTGCGCGTACTAGTGGCTTTACAAGAGTGCAATTACTGTACTATGCTATGTATTCTCACAAACCCAATGTACCTTCTTGTATATAAATAAATAAATAAATAAAAATATCTTAAGAGAAACGCAACTACAGGAATCGAATATATTAAAAGCTAATTTAGGCGTGAACACATTAACAGGGGTGACATCGGCAGTATATGGAACGCTGGCAAACATTAGTACAGTATTCATAAATCTTAATGAAGCCTATTTTTATGACAATTTATTCAGCCTTTGTGAGGCTAATACTCGAATATGCAGCACTGGTCTAGAATCCACACCTCATGAAACAAGCTAAACTGGAAAACGTGAACAGACTCTTGCAACAAAAGTATTGCCTGAAGTAAGAGGAATAAGCTATGCACACAGGGTTAAGGAACTTGATCTTAAAACCCTACAGGTAAGAAGAAAAGGGATATGATTAATACATGCAAGATACCGAGGGGGAATGGACAATGGCATCCTCTTTACGGTTAAGTAGGACGAGAGACATAGATGGAAGCTGGACCTGTATATGAAAAGTTAAAACGCAACAGGTATAGTAACACAGGAAGGCGGGACATAACAAATTTTCCCCAATAGTCACTGAAAGAACTTGTGGAAGCCATCTCTGTCCTCATCTTTAAAGCCAGATTCGACACAGAATTTGAATGTCAGAATAGTTACATTATAACGCAAGAGACATAAACAGGTAGAGCTCACTTGGCGGTAGACACCCAGCAGGAGACAGCAGCGCCGCGACTCAGGTGTTCCTCCCTCGGCGCGGGCTGGCTGGCGACTCCCGACCTCCCGACCACAACTCTGACACCACCTGGAAAAAGGGCATACTGCTCACTGTGCGAAAAATATCATATATTGCTCTCTCCAGTCCTATATAATTTTCATCTGATGCACTGACAGTTGAAAGCCGGTGGTTTCAGATCCCTCCTGGCAAAAGGTGCACTGGTTCACCCAGCCTTTAGAAAACACACACACACATACATATATAATATATATATGCAATTGACGATCACAAAACACTGATCATTTTATGCGGAAAATCCACAGAGAAATATGAAATGAGGTGAACGTTTCGGCTTGTTAAAAAGGAGAGTTATAAAAGTTGAGAGTTGATAAAAAGGAGTTTCCTGTTGGGTTATTTGTGGACCTGCGTAAGGCTTTTGACACTGTCAACCATCAAAACCTTCTTCTTAAATTACATCATTATGGAGTCAGAGGACACTCCCTGCAATACCTCAAATCTTATCTTACTGACAGGCTCCAGTATGTTTCTGTGAATAATACAATTTCTCCCACCCTTCCCATCAACATTGGTGTTCCTCAGGGCAGCATACTTGGCCCTCTCCTCTTTCTCATCTACATTAATGACCTTCCAAATGCCTCCCAACACCTCAAACCAATTATATTTGCTGACGACACAACCTTCATTTACTCCAGTCCTGACCCCCTTGCTCTAAATGCCACAGTAAATACTGAGCTAGAGAAAGTCCATCTTTGGCTAACTGCCAACAAACTCACCCTTAACATTGATAAAACGTTTTATATTCTGTTTGGCAATAAATCCTCTAATCAGATAAATCTCAAAATAAACAATACCCAAATTTGTAACAAATTAGATGGCAAATTCCTTGGCGTTCTCATCGACCACAAGCTGAATTTCCAGGGTCACATTCTAAATATATCAAAAAAAGTTTCAAAAACTGTTGGCATTCTTTCTAAGATCAGATATTATGTACCCCGCCCTGCCCTGGTTACTCTCTATTACTCCCTCATCTATCCATACCTCAACTATGGTATTTGTGCTTGGGGTTCTACTACCCAAAATCATTTACGTCCTCTTATTACCCAACACAAAGCTGCTATTAGGACAATATCCAACTCTGGCCCCAGACATCACTCGGTACCCTTACTCAAATCTCTGAATATGTTAGATATTAAGTCACTGCACATTCTCTCTTGTGTATTATACATATATAAAACGCTGAACTGTAATGCCAATCCTGACCTCAAAAGCTTCATTGAAGGTTGTAACAGAACCCATGAGCACCACACCAGGAATAAATACAGTTTTGATATTCCTAGAGTACGACTTAATCAAACTAGAAATGCTCTACAAATCAAGGGACCCAGAATGTGGAATGACCTTCCCAACCATGTTAAAGACTGTACCTCTCTCAACCAGTTTAAGATAAAAACTAAACACTACCTAATAAATTCCTTGTAACCCACCTCACTCCTTTATTGTCAACCCATGTCTGTTATTTTATTATTATTATTTTTTTTTTAATCAACACTGTTTGTCAACCTATTGTATTTTTGCTGCTTTCTCAGTCATGTTCCCCCTTTTTTTTATCTTTATTTGTATTTGTTTTCAACACTTTTTATTCTTTATGCTCAATTAGTATTAAGTTCTAGATATTAATGTTTTTCTTGCCCGAAACGCATTGCGTAATAGTGGCTTTAGGCATTGTATGTACTAGCTCTATCTATATATCAATCCATTAATGTAACATCACTTGTATGTATGTACCTTACCTGAATAAACATATTTATTTATTTATTTATTTTATTTATTTAAAGCCTTTGTCAACATCAACTTTGCGTCATTTGCAAACATCGACATGTAGGGCTCTACGCCTGTAAACATGTCGTTAACATATACAAGAAATAGAATTGGTCCCAGCACCGATCCTTGTGGTACTCCACTTGTTACTGTTCGCCAGTCCGACTTCTCGCCCCTTACCGTAACTCTTTGGCTCCTTCCTGTTAGGTAGTTCCTTATCCATGCTAGGACCTTTCCCCCCGCCTGCCTCTCGAGCTTGAACAGCAGTCTCATGTGCGGTACTGTATCAAAGGCTTTTTGGCAGTCCAGAAATATGCAGTCTGCCCAACCGTCTCTGTCCTGTCTTATCCTCGTTATTTTATCATAGAATTCCAGAAGGTTTGTTAGGCACGATTTCCCTGTTCAGAACCCATGTTGATGTTTGTTCACAAACCTAATGTTCTCCAGGTGTGCAACCAGTCGTAGCCTAATTATTCTTTCCAGTATTTTACAGGGGATGCTTGTCAGTGATACAGGTCTATAGTTAAGTGCCTCCTCCCTATCGCCTTTCTTGAAGATCGGCACGACATTTGCCTTCTTCCAGCAACTGGGCAATTCTCCCGACATAAGTAACTCATTAAAGATCATTGCCAGAGGCACGCTGAGGGCCTGCGCTGCTTCTTTTAGTATCCATGGTGATACTTTGTCTGGTCCAACTGCTTTAGTTGCATCTAGTGTTGTCAACTGTTTCATTACCTCCTCTGCTGTCACCTCTATATCTGATAGTCTTTCATCTAGGGTAATCTCTTCTAACAATGGGAGCCGCTCAGGCTCGGTTGTGAACACTCTATGGAAACTTGCATTCAGTGCCTCGCAGATTTCCTTGTCGCTTTCTGTATATGCCCCCTCTGTTTTCCTCAGTCTTGTCACTTGGTCGTTCACCGACATATTCCTTCTTATATGACTGTGTAGTAACTTAGGTTGTTTTTTAGCTTTGATTGCAATATCGTTCTCATAGTCCCTTTCCGATGTTCGTCTTATGTTAATGTAATCGTTCCTAGCTCTGTTGCATCTAACCCTGTGTGACACACACACATCTGTGTGTGTGTGCGTGGGTGTGTGTGTGTGTGTGTGTGTGTGTGTGGAGGGAGGTGGACATCTGACAAGTGTTCATGCGAGATGTGGAAGGCAGCTGTTATTTTTATTTATTTATTTTATTGGGGGGGGGGGGTTAGTAAAGAGGGTGGAGAGGGACGGGCAACTAGAAAAGTTTGGAAATAGGAAACATAAGTGTGAGTTATAATAGAAGGCGGATTGTCCGCCTTGCTGACACGTGACACGGTGTGTCTGACACGTGTGTGTGTGTGTGTGTGTGTGTGTGTGTGTGTGTGTGTGTGTGTGTGTGTGTGTGTGTGTGTGTGTGTGTGTGTGTGTGTGTGTGTGTGTGTGTGTGTGTGTGTGTATTGGCAGCTAAACTAAGCTTGTTCTCTCTTGTCAGGGAGCTGTGAGTGTGTGTGTGTGAGAGAGAGATTCTTCACATGTATTTCAGCATATATGGATGTCTATACATGAACAGTGTGTAGCAGTCACATATACACACTCACATGGTTTCATACATGTTTTGATGTTCTGTATAAAGGTCTTTATTATATTTTATCAGCAGTCCCTGTGGCGTAGTGGTAAAGCATTCGCCCGGTGTTTCGCGAGCCCTTTGGTCTGGGTTCGTATCCTGGCCAGGGAGGATTGACTGGGCGCAAATTCTTAACTGTAGCCTCTGTTCACCCAACAATGATTGGGTACCTGGTTGTTAAACGATTTGGAGGGTCGTATTCCGGGGAAAATTTGGATTAGGGACCTGCCTGAAACGCTATGCGTGTTATAGTATAATAATGTGCGTGCTAGTTTACAAGAATATATATATGTTGTACTTAGTTTTTTTTTGTTTTTCAAATCAACGCTGTTTTAATGTAATTTTCTGTAATAATTTGTAATTGTATTTGTGCTGTTTTTTCAGCAATGTTCCCCCCTCTTTTACCTCTATTTTTATTTGTACTCAACGCATTTTTTTCTTTTTACCCATTAGTTTTAAGCTTTAGTCAGTAGTGTTTTTTCCTGCCCGAAACGCTTTGCGTAATAGTGGCTTTAGGCATTGTATGTACTAGCTCTTATCTATAAAGCCAACAAACTTTGTAAAATCTCTTTATGTATGTACCTTTGCCTAAATAAAAATTATTAATATTATTATTATTATTATTAATATTATTATTATTAGTAGTAGCCAGAACGTCGTACTCGGCCTACTATGCAAGGCCCGAATTGCCTAGCAAGCCAAGTTTTCCTGAATTTATATATTTTTCTAATTTTTTCTTATTCTCATTTTTTCTTATGAAATGATAAATCTGGCAATTTCATTATGTATAAGTTAATTTGTTTAAATTTAAGTTAAAACTAACGTAGATATATGACCGAACCTAACCAACCCTACCTAACCTGATACAAAGCATTAGACGTTCTCGCAGTTCTTACACTATAAGTATGTTGGGACATACGTAATTGTAAGGATTTTCCTGTTTGTTCTTGTTCAAGGTACGCACGCAGACTCGCAATAATTGCAGGGAATCGAATACACACAACCTGCTGTACCAGGGGAATTTTTTTTTATGAAATTGGACTTGATCGTATTATTAGTGAACACCAAATTGATATTAAGGTTCTTAAAAACTGGGGAAAGTTTCTCAAGCACCGTCGTATAAGGTACCACCAATGAGTTTTTAATTTTTGGTTTCACTTTGGGGACATGGTGAGAAATAATGGGCAGAGTTTCTTTCACCCTATGCCCCTGTTACCTAGCAGTGAAATAGGTACCTGGGTGTTAGTCAGCTGTCACGGGCTGCTTCCTGGGGGTGTGGAGGCCTGGTCGAGGACCGGGCCGCGGGGACACTAAAAGCCCCGAAATCATCTCAAGATAGGAATCTCAAGATATGGTTATAACGTACGTTTAGCTTGCCAAACGAGCAATCCAAAAACATCTTAGGGTACTGTAAACTCTTCCCAATTTCATATATTTTAGCTATCTCTTCATGAAAAAACTCATGGCTACATACCCTCAAAGCTCGTAGAAACATTCCTGAAAATACTGTCTGTTTAACTTTACTATGATGATTCGAATAATAATGAACAAACGACCCCACGTTGGTAGGTTTTCTATACACATTAAATTTGAACCTTCTATTGACTCCATGAA